TATATATATAACACTATTCTAATGTAGGTATTTTGACACAAAATCGGACTTTTTCTGAAATAACATACCAATTTTTTTACATATTTCGATTCTACGACTCAAATTATGCCAGAGTGCCAAGTTTTTTAAAAATCTTACGAGTAGTTTTTAAAAGATTAGCTCATCATTGTTAATTGAATTTGGCATATATTTATTAATATCTCTTTTTTTATTAAACGTTTTGGATTTTTCCTTTCACATTTCGAAATTTAGGTTCATTCCAAAACAAATTCATTCATTTTTTTGTGTTTTGTTTTAAAATTTCTATTTTTAAATAATTTTTATAAATTTTTCGAAAAAATTTTTAAATTATAACCTATAAAATTTTTACCATCATCTTAAAGTAGGTGTAGTTCTAAGCATACCTGCAAAAAAGTAGAGTTTTTAATTCAAAATTTTCTAAGATATACAAGAATTTACATATTTTCGCATTTTGAAATTTGGCATCTTTTTTTTTTTTTTTTTTTTTTTGAGCGATAATAACGCCAAATGTGGTTTATGGATTTTTGTTACAGTGAATTGCCACAGCTATTTTTAACCTTAAATTTCAAATAAATTTTTAAAAATTATTAATTAGATGAATTTTTTCCCCTCAGTGATGCGTAATAAATATTTATTAATACTATATGAAAAGCTATTTTTTTTAATTACAGATGATATTATTCAAATATTTATTTAACTTTTTTTTAAATTTCTTTTTTCCTTTTTTTAAAAATGTTTTGTAAGAGTAAATTTTTACCTTCGCCATGTAATCGTCTGCTACTTCATTTAAATTGAATTGTCTAAAACTGAGAAAGTTCGTTTGATGTTTATTTTCACAATGTTTTTAAGCATACAGGACGTTGACAGTTTGGGTCATGTCCCAGCTTTAAATATATATGTATATGTAATATATATTATATAATAAAATTCCATAGTCAAGAATACACTTAAAATTCTAACTGTATGTTCTTTTCATTTTTAATGGCGACGTTCTCTCATTTGAAAGTACGTGGAATTAAATTCACAGCCCCGTAGTCAAGTTGTTTTTCCCGCCTTTTCTACACGTACAGTTATAGAATGTTCTGGAAATATTTAAAGCGAACTGGATTGGCTGACGTCATTTCTTGGAAGCTCCGCTTTTCCAGAGGCTATAAAAGGACTCGCAAAAGGAATATCGGGGCTTTTTCTTAAATGTCACGATGCAGTAAACTACATACAAAAAGTTATTAGTAATTCTTTTTATTTACTCCGGATATCTGATTTTTGCAACTGCATTTTATACTGAATAATAATAAATGGATCCTTGTTTTTTAAACTTATCGTCTGATTATTTAAGCTACGACTAAAGCTGATACATCACATATATATATATATAAATTTTTACATTAATCCTTTTAGAAAGAATGTTTTAAATAGTAATTTTGTCTCGTGTAGTAGATTATATAAAAAAATGTTCTTTAATATAGAAATTATTAGGCTTAAAAACTCTAAATAAATATGATTTAGATTGTTTGCGCCCGATATAAAAATCGTGTCACTCCGTGGTACAGGATAAGCGCTGCTGGAGTGGTTTATTTCTTTTCATTTAACGAAAAATCTTTTAATTCAAATAATTATCCTTTGGACTTTGCTTTAAACTTTATTTATAGTTAAAAATGTTTAGAAAATGAAAAGCTGTCTTTAGCTGAAACACATTTGATGCAACTAATATTTTAAAAAAATTGATAAGAATACAAAATTTATGGAAGTGTAACAATCGAAAAATCTTAATTTTCTCGTATCAGCACTGAAAACAAATGTAGAATAAATGAAGGAAATTGGGAGGGGGGAAGCAAAAATTTAAAGATGACTCTACTTCAAAGAAGTTTGTTCAAAGAGAAAACACTTGGACGTGCATACCAGCAAATGGCAGCAACTGAGTTAGTACTAACAGAAAAGCAAAAACCATATCATTGCAGATTAAATTGAAGAGCGACTGGTTTGCGACAATATGGTTGTATAAATTTAAATTACATCATAGAACATCGTATCGTATCATAAACGGAAATCCCCTAATTTCTCAGTCGAATTATTTGAAGATTCAGGAATTTATCCAGTGACGTTATAAAGTATTATTACGTCACTGGATAATTCCCGCCCTTGCCTTCTTAGCTTGCATTCGTGGTGTAGTTGTCTGCATGCTCGGTACGTATTCTAGAGGTCCGTGTTTCGATTCCCAGCAAGGGCATTGCTCATTTTTCATTTCCTCTACTTCCCCCCCCCAAAAAATACCTACTAAAAGAACTAAAAGGTGGTGAATGACGATTCTTCACCACCAGTATTTGGCGACTGGGTACCCTAATCCCCAATCGCCCTTTAAGGGGGGAGTATATAAGGTATTTCTTCCGCCTTCGTTGTGTAGTGGTCTGCACGCTCGGCGCGTATTCGAGAGGTCGTAGTTCGATTCCCTTCGAGGGCATTGCTCATTTTTCAAGTCTCCTGCTTCCAAAAATCCTAATATCTCTAAAACGTATATGGATATCATCTAAAGACGCTTTCCCTATTGATAAAACTAGTCTTTCCTTTCATCTCATGCCTTCACATTGCTTAGCCACTAAAGACTGATAAAGGTTCTGACCAAATACTGATGAAATGGACTGAATTGGATTATTAAATTACGGGAAAACAGGACTATCTGCCTAAAAGGAAGGATGCCTTCGTGAAGAACTTTCTAAGGGAAACCAGCTGGCATACACGTTATAATGAGAAAAAGCCCATGCAACCAGCCCGTTCGCTGGGACTCGAACCCCGGAGCGATCTACCAGTGTTCAGTAGCTTTGCCGTTCGGGCGTTTGTGGGCCTTTAAACTTTATTTAAAATGAATGTCAGAAATACGAAGGTGTTTCTAAAGGTTGGATGCTTTTTAATATACTTGCAGAATGCCTGAAGAAAAAGAGCAAGCCATTAAAGAAGAAAAAAAAAATAAATTTTTGCATATAATTTAGTATTTTTTTTATTTAAAACTTTTTAATCTTATGATATTTGATTCTTGCTATTTCAAAAATAAAATATTTAACTAAAATATGAATAACATTTTAAGAAACTTAATGTAGAATGATAAAATTGTGTATAGCAATGAGCACAATGTTAAAGCTATATAATATATTTCTTCCGCCTTCTTAGCGACCCTTCGTCGTGTAGTGGTCAGCACACTCAACGCGTAATTAAGAGGTCCGCGATTCGATTTCCGGCGAAGGCGTTGCTAAGTTTTCATCTCCTCTGCTTCTAAAAAATACCTAATGGCTCTACCTCTAAAAAGCTATTTAAAGCAATATATGGAAGTCATCCTAAGTTAAAATGTCGGTTATACATCTTTCTCATTTATATATCTTTTCTAAACGGAATATTGAAAGGCGTGTTAACTGTGCTTTACTGTATTTTCTCTTTTAATGTATTCAGTTTTCAGATGCATCGTAGTCTGGGACACAAAGTGTTCTTCCGAAAAAAACGCAATTCAATAAATAAAATAAAATCCTGGAAAATTTATATTAATAAATATATTTAAAATGATCAGTTCGAATGAATAAATAGAAAATTTTAAAACAATTATCTGAAAAGACAATGCGATACAAACAATTAAAATAAAAGTATAAAAATTTAAAAATTACCTAAAATAATAACTATGACTAAAATTATAATATGAAGAAAACTATTTGGAGGGGAATGCACCTTTTATTTAAACTACGCAGTTCGAACGAGTAAATCGAAATTTTTAAAACAGTTATTCGAAAAAAAACATGCAACTTAAACAATTAAAATGAAATTCGAAAAGAAAAAAAAATTACTTAAAATAATAAGATTATAATTAAAAATATAATATAAAGAATATTATTTGGAAAAAAGGAAGGATTGTGACTTTTTTCCTCTTACGGAAAGGAAACTATGTTACCATATATTAAGAAAGGTCGCCAAGTGAACTATTCTTGGCGCAAACTGAAAAAATTTCCCCAACATAAAGTTTGTGAATTTCTCCGTTAATTACGCTTACCAAATTTTACCAAAATTACATAATTTAGACGTAATTTGAGTCGTAGTATCGAAATATGGAAAAACATTGGTATGTTATTTCAAAAAAGTCCGATTTTGTGTCAAAATACCTATGTTAGAATAGCTATATATAAATCTAATATATATCCTAAGTCGCGCTTTCGAAACATGAAGAACACAATTTGAATATTGTCAATCGGCCCAGTAGAACGGAAGATATAAAACTGTACCTCTTCCTTTTTTTTTTTTTTTTTTTTTTTTAAAGCAGTGTGCATTTTGATATAAGGAAAGTTTATCGTAAAACTGAGAATATTTTAATGGTTTATTTTTTAAATGAAACTTTTGTAATTTTCCCTTGGAAAAATTCAATTAAACAGTTTTATGTAAGGATAATTAAAGGAATCCTCAGCAATAACATTATGTGTTGATATTAATGAAAGCTACATATTTGTGCATATTAGTAATATTTTCTCTTGAAATGAGGCTTAGAATAAACACTCTCAAAATGTGAGATTTATATAGCTGTAATACCTTGAAAAGTCAATTTTTTATGTATGCAAATTTCATGAAAAAGTACATCATTTGAGAGTATATATAAAAGCAAAAGCTATGTAGATATAAATTATACAGTTTTACTGTGTGGGAAGAAATACAGCATCAAATTATCAAAGCATCCCCAAACAACAGTTTCATCAGAAAACAAGTACACTGCAGAGCATGTTTTAAAGTATCTCAATATTTTTAAGTACACACCGATTCTAGCTGAAACTATGTTGTTTATTTATAAGCTAAATATCTTTCACGTGCTTTGCCATTTTGTATACATTTTTAAAGATTTTATAAAAGGGGATATTTTTGGCATACTGCTGACGTGAATCAGAGCTGTCAAACTGTAGCAGTCCTGTGTTGCCACGTTGAAAGTGCCAAATAATGATCATCATTCGTCATTGTAGATGTTGGTCGACCTTCTTCTGGTCTTCTCGATATGGATTCAGTGCCCTGAAGACTGTGGAAGTTACATTGAGCTCTGCAGCCATCTGCGTTTGTGACTGGCTTACCTCCAATCTGCGGACAATTCTACATCTCATTCCATCATACTATTTTCCTGGCTGATCATTTTACCTGATGCATTATAAAAATTTACCCAATGCAATTTACCTTGCAAGAAACACGGCGAATGTAGTAAAGGAGTATGAGCACACAAATTGCTGAAACTCCCTCATGTGCTTATATATCCTGCAGTCAGCTCCGGAGACAAGTGGATTCTTAGGTATTCGATTCTGAATATTTGCATAATTATTGGTATATTTGGTTCAGTACTTTAAAAAAAAATAGCCGCAATTTATATATTCTCTTAATTTTGCACACAAATGTAAATATGTATATATATATGTATATGTAAGATAAAAAAATGAAAGCAAACTTCTAAATTTAATTGTCTATAACCTCTTTTAGTTTTATTTAATTTGTGGATTTCCATTCTCTGTCTTAGAAATAGCGTCATAAGTCTAAATTGCGTCATTCAAATTAATCATGCGATCTTACGTAATGCTTAATGCAGATGCCTCTTGACCAATCACCAAATTGTAAACCAAAACTAAAAACTGAAAATTTCTCCCTTCTTACTATGAACTGATGCATCACTTTTGCGTGTGTATCCCTCTTTGCCAGAATACAAAAAGGCACCATATGATATTAAGAAATTTAACATTAGATTAAAACTAGTCCTTACTAGCGTGAAACAGTTTTTCTAGAGCGTGGAAAGTTCAACTAATTTTCTGTGTTCTCATCAAGCAATCTATTAATTAGAAATACACTAGTGTGCAAAGGAACAAATTTATTTTTCAACACATAACCGTGAAATTGTTAAAAAGGGCTTTTTATAATTGGTACAATTAAAAGCCAACTCAATAGAAAGATAATGCGTATGGAAATATCTGCACCATGAATCAGAGGGTACATCATTGCACACAAAACACAGGTAATCAGCGCATGCAGTGCAAAGCAATTTATCCCTTTCCCGCGAATTGTCACGAATACGTAGCAGCAAGAAACGCACTCATTTTCAGGCCGGCATATTGGCGTGCCAGAAAGTTTTCTGCTTCAACCCCGGCTGTTAGACATTTGTGCCAATGTCTTGGAACGTTTAAAAACTATAACTTTTGCCACAAGATGGCATTGCATGTCCATAGGATTTGAGGTACATGTAGATTTGACATTCTACTCAGAATGAGAGAAACATGAGTCGTTCAGGAGAGAAATGTGACTTACTATTGCATAATGTAAACAAACAGGACTCGTCCCTCTAACTCACCACGTGATATAAACATTCACGTTTCTGATATTCCTCCGAATCCTTTTTTTCTGTACTTTTAGACCCCGTTCAGACGAGGGCATAAGTGGTTAAAGCCGAGCTCCGTTGCCAAGGCAACCAGTCTCTGCTACGACACAGAATCTGGTTTAGGGGTCGTGGCAGAGGGTTCAAAGTTTTTAACTTTACGCCAAGGATCAAGGAAGTGCAATTTACGGAGTTCATAGGCAATTACGCCTTTACCTCCACATCTTCAAAGGAAATTACATCATCAAAAAGAGGGGATTGTCTAATAGGGAAAAAATTTTGAGAAGCCGAATGACTTGGAATAAGTGCCTTCACACTGAGTCAAAAAACTCAAAAGGTCTTAATTTTGCGCCGAAAAAGAGCCAGAATAATTTAGATAGGGGCAGCCACAATAAAATTTAGACTAGAAAAATAAAATGTGAAGTTTCCTTGAACCTTGATTATCGTGTTTTGCATACGTCAGATGCGAAGAATACGCAGGGGAATTTCGATGCGCGTTCTTCGAGGGGGAGGGAGGGGGGAACCTGTTTACAGGTCGAAAAAGAAGTTCTGCCAGTGATCAGCTGGGAGGGAGAAGTTTCGTTTTTGACCGCTATTCAATGCGGTATTTAAAGCGTAAAATGACGCTGTTAAACGCCTGAGAAAGTTCCTTTTTAAAGGAAGAAAAGAGCTGTATTTAAAAATCTTTTTCAGTTTAAGTCAATTCAAAAGTTAGAAAAATATTTTAAATCAGTCCTTTTAGACTGTGATGTTTCTTATTAAAGAAACGTTAAAGGGGGTTCCTCGAGTTAATGCTGTGTGCATTAAAGAACTTTAGAGGCGGGGGGGGGTTAAGGAACGAGAGGTAGTTATTCACATGGCTGTCAGTGTGCTCATATCTAGCCCGTTTAAATGGGAGAGCTGAATATTCCTGGTTAAGAACCGCTCTGGGTCTTTTCCGGGAAGAAGCAACAGCAGGATCGTATACGGGTAGCATATGAAGCACAGGATTAGCAACATGTTGAATATTTTTGAAAAATTTTTCCGAAAGTCGCTGTATATAGCGATTAATGGGCATAATTTTGAGGTCATTATGAATCTCTTCGTTCCGTACAAACCACGGAGCTTTTAAATTTGCCCGAAGCATTTTAGATTGAAAAATTTGGACATGTTTTCTGTTAGTCAGTGCAGATGGGCCCCAGACGAGGACACGCATACGTAAGAACAGGCCTAATCATTGATTTGTAGAGCAAGATTTTGTTATCCATTGACAGGTCGCTATTAATAGCTAAAAGGGGGCGTAGGGCGGTTTTGACAGCTGTTGCACCCGCTATGATTTTGCGAATGTGAGGCTGCCAAGTTAATTTTGAATCTAGTAAAACACCTAGATATTTGTAAGAAGAGACCCAGGGAATGGGTTCACCGAAGAGCATTAAATTAGGTAAACTTGGGATATTTCTTCGGATGAACATAGTGGCAGCACATTTTGCGACATTAATTTTGATTTTATACAGACCGAGCCAGAGTTCTAAGGTCGAAAGGTAACTCTGCAATTGGGAGATTACCTGGAGGGTGTTGGAATGTTGTGAAATGATGGCTGTATCGTCTGCGTATAACGCAAGATCGATATTTGGGGCCTTAGGAATATCATTTACATAAAGGTTAAAGATTGAAGGTCCAAGGAGGCTACCTTGAGCTACACCAGCATAGATTGGGCGGGGAGAGGAGAATTCGTGGTTAACTCGCACGCGGAAACTGCGTCCGGTCAAGTACGAGTTAATAATTTTAATGAGATGAGCCGAAAAACCAAGCCGCATGAACTTGTAAATAATCCCGTCATGCCAAGTCCTGTCAAAGGCTTTGGCAACGTCTAAATAGACAATACCAGTTTTCTCTCGCTTACGAAAGCCTTCATGAATGAATTCCACTACACGGAGTAACTGGTGTACTGTGGAGTGTTTAGGTCGGAAGCCGAATTGTTCCGGGATTAATAAATTTTGATCCCGACAGAATTCATTCAGGCGATTAAGTAAGACAAATTCATAGATCTTTGAGAGAAAGGATAACAGACTTTTGGGTCTGTAATTGACGGGTAAGTTTAAATTTTGTCCCGGTTTTGGAATGGGGGCGACTGCTGCAATTTTCCAACAGTCGGTAACTTTACGCCGAGTTTGGGATAAGCGTCGACCAGTCAGAGCGAAGCTAAAACGAAGCGGCTTTCTTTAGATGATTTCGCTGTCACATCGAAGGCGACGTTTTTTTTTAATATGGAACACATCGTATCCGAATGAGTTGTAATCGTATCCGAACGAAACAGTGAGTTGTAATCGTATCCGAACGAAGCAATGAATTGTAATCGTATCCGAACGAAATAAAGAGTTGATCTCGCAAGAAATCTACGATGATGACATGCATTTTTTAATGAGTTTTTCAATTTATATTGAAAAATATGGATGAAACTCGTAAAGCGAAAGTTAAGCTCAGTATTATGCACGCTGTGTATGATCCTGTAGATGAATGATCCCATCTAATATTTTTCATTTTATTGTGAAAATTCTTTAAAAAATGCATGATTGCGAAAATTTTATTTTTTCTGTGTAAATTATTATTATTACTTTCTTTCTGTCTATAATTTTTTAAAAAAAATTATTACTATAATTATTTTCCTGTTTAATTATTTTGTATTTAAGAATAATTGTTTTGAAAAAGCTGGAAATATTATATTGCTATTTGCTTCAAATGCTGATTTTCTTTCCAAAAAAACTTCATGAATTAATTTTACTAAAACATCAAATCAATATCAAGAATCTGCTGTTTTTTTTTAACAGTAAAAATATTACTTTAAAGAAAAAAGGAAAAATTATTTTCACTTATTTAAAAATAGTCACAATAGTCAATTCAATGGTGTAAGCTTTGTATAAGTAATAAAAGATTAATCTTTTGATAAAATGCACTTATGAATTCCAAGAAGTAAAAAATGTAGTAAAATACCTTAAAAACAGTCAACAGTCTAGACAGTTTTATTCTCCTGTTGAAGTTCTGTTCTGTTTTTTTAATTACGTTCTCTCCATGAAAGGAATTTACTTTAAATGAAACTGAATAGCACACATAATTCGTAACATGGACTATAATTTAATGAATAGTATTTATTATTATTATCCACTCTTTATTACTATCATTTGAATGGAATTTTGATCATTAAATTCACGCTATTTCTCTGGAAAAATTCCTGGATAAGGTATGAATGTTTATAATTTTGATGTATTTGAAGACTTGGGTACCTAATATTTGTCAATGTGAAATTACTTTTGAGATTTGGTCGTAAATAGAAATGACAGCATATGTTGAAATTAAATTCAGGGATGCGGCTTACACATGCAAATTATTAGAAATAGGTGTATACAAACAGCTGGCAACACAGCAAAGTGCATTTAATGATTGAGCATAAAATACATTGTTGGGTGAACGCTTCCTAGTATTGTACTAGTTGTGGTTGCTGGTTATTGTGACCAGTTATGGGATACTAGTACTAGTGATAATTGATACTGGTAGTGCTGTAAGGATCTTAAGTTTTACTAACGTTTATTTTATTTTAAATCTTTACTATCACTTCTTATTTTCTACTTCCGGCCAGAATTAAAAGCTTTAACTTATTTATGCAAATTTTCTTGCGAACGCCAGTACTTAAGTTGTGGATTTTTGCCAAGCAAGAGAGAGGAAGGAGCTATTAGAAGCAGGCCGCTTGCCATAGTAGTTTTACTCGGTTGCTGGTTTCCTTCAGGCCAAAGGTTTAATCCTCTTGATAATTTAAACGTATCGTAGTGTTAGCAGTTCTCTGTACTACATACGGCTTTTTGCTAATATACGACCAATCTTGGAGTAGGGCACTTGTTGATTAATCCAAAGTTAAGTTTAGTTAGAGTTTAGTTAATATTTTTATATTCTTTACGTTCAGACCACAAGTGGTTGGTCTCTGTATTCGAAGTCCGGAAATCATTGTAAGAGAGAAAAATAAAGGGTTTCGTATACCCTTCCTGTGTTATTGTCTACTTCCAAATTTATTGAACATAGCTTTAGTACGCTCCCTGTTCCGAGTCAGGACATTTAATGTTCCCAAAGCAAGTAAGGAGGAACACAGAACCTGATAGTGCAGCAAACTACTATAGTGATCGACAGGGACAGTGAATAAGGAGTGCTAAGCACACATGTTTCACTGTCATAGAAACATGTTCCTTTTGATTGAAAATTAAAATAATAATAATAATAATAATGTATGGTAATTACTGTTTTTAGTTTAACTGCTTTCACATCTGCAAAATGGGAAAATATTATATACAGGCTATCTGTTAGTTATCCTCAAGTTTTTTTTTTTAATTAGGCATATTTAGAATATCGTATTTCTCCTAAGAGAAATTAATATATAAAAATTGAGGAAGGTTTTTATATATATAAATATGCATGTGCATGTTTATAGTATAGAGAGTACTACAGTACAATGCAGAAATATTCCATACTGCTTTTCACAGAAATATATGTGCCAACCAAGTATTGGTCTTTTAAAAAAATATCTCTCGACCATTTCGTTCTTTTTCGTTTTTTACCTTTTTCCGTTGCCTTTTGGCTAATGAGAAGAGCAGATAAAAGATCATTCTGTTGAGCCAGTAAAACTTTGTGGTGAGTTGAAAAGGCCATGACACAACGAAAAAAACAAGCAGAGCGAACGCGGGAAATCAATCGAGCGGGAGAACAGCGCGGGAAAGTTGTAGACATTCCACGCATGCGCAAATTTAGCTTTTCTCATTGGCCACGGCTTACACATCGTTCTCGCAGGTGTGAACGGGTCTCCCGTATTTTATGCCCTCATGACTATGCCTCTATACGCTTTACGCCCACGTCTGAAAGCACCTTTAAGGGTCTTTTAGGGTTACTTTGTGGAGTTCTGTTACTCGTTCTGTTGCTTTCGGATATATTTCGCATTCTTCCCTTTTTATTTTGGACAGCCTTGATTTCAGTTTATTATAGTGAGGAAAGCGTTACTTATCAGAGGAAAGATATACTTGCATAGTAAATGAGCCAATTAATGACATAAAGGAGTGATGATTTATTTTCTAAAGTAATTTTCTCTAGTGATTCTGATCCAAAAACTATTTTTAAAGTAACCAGTTTTTTTAAAATATTTCAAAAAAAAAAAAAAAAAGAAAAAAAAGGAAGAAGACTGTTAATGCTAATTTTAACATTTACATTAGATTGTCTAATAATCTAAAATGGTATCAAAAATTATAACGTTACGTCTTAAGCCTTTTTTTTTTTTTTTTTTTTTAATTTAGGCTTAAAGACCCTGTCCTGTGGGAGCATTCCTTTCCATTCTCCTCCGTCCCGAGGGAACATCTTGAATGAAGGCATGCTGTCTTGAAATGGTTGAAAATACGAAAGGAAGGAACATACATTTCCAGGCATTCTCCTGCAAGGTAAAGTGAGACTGTACAAGAGGATCAGTCAGGGAAAACAACGGTGACTGATGATCAATAGGAGTTCATATCATCCAATAGGAGATCAATAGGATAACGGTGACTGGAGGCGAAAAGAGATTGAAACCATACAGCGGGCAATATTAATATTGCTCAGCAGTGGCACACGACAATCAGCCCCAATAGCACGCCGACGTCGTTGTGACATTGCAAACGTGTCACGCTATGGTGCTTTCAATGTCGCAGTAACATTGTAGGAATGGCTTAATGTCCCCTTTTTGCGACGTTGATGTGAAGTCACATTGGGGCATAGTTTTGAAGTCTTACTATGACATTGATGCGTAGTCACGCTGTGACGTTGTTGTGAAGTTACAGTGTGATATTATTGTGAAGTCACACTGCGACATTCATGTAATGACTTATTGTGACTTTAATATAACGTGTTAGATTGACATGAATGCAACATAATAAAGTGCCATGGATGTGATGTCAGTAAAGATGTAAATGGATGTCATGCAACACTGGATTACTTTCTAAATGATTACGTGATGAACTCCTATTATAGAGAACAGGTAACTACAACAATGTTTTAATGATCCAGTAAGGAATTATCTTTTTCGGGATACTAAAATACTTCCGTAATATTCGAAATTAAAAAATTTTTGAAAATAATTAGTATAATCATTTGAAATTTTCTCATCGTACTGAGGTTGTATCTCACCCTATTAAGGTTATATAACTGTAATCCATTTATGTTTAATACATATCTGCATAAATCATAGTGTACAGAAAATGCACAGCGTACTATATATGATGCAAAAATGCAAAAGTGATCATATGGTCATTTTCTAACCGTAATACATTGCAAATACTTTTGAGTATTAGCTGTCCGGAAGCTCCAAATTTTGCTTTCATATCTTAGAATTTAATATTTAAAGACACTTCAGATTTTTCCAAAATTCCTAAATTGTATTAACCCTTAGCGCTCCGCACGTTTTTGTACCACTGCCTACCAGCAACTCCGGCACATTTTTTTCAGGGGAACGCAGCATCAAGAATATCTGCTTAAATCTCTTTCTTGTAAATATTTTACCAAAGAAAGGGATGTGACTATTCTCCTTAACTGACCAATAATCCTGCATATTCGCCAGGAGTATCTTACCCATATTGATAATAACTCCAATAAAAGCCCCAAACTCATTCTCTTCCACTGCACGCCACGTTTTCCAAATATAATTACTAGTATTTCTTTATTCTTTAGAACATTTTCTGCGCAATTGTTGGTTTCTTTTATAATTTCATTTACTAGTTCGTTTGTGAAAAATAATTTAAAATATTGTGTCCGCTATACAATATTTGTAGGAATTTGCGGTCCAATGACCTTTGGCGATACACTAAAATGTATTCTATCCGGAATATCTACATCGCGCCATTCATCTAAGTCTTCCGGCGACTCTTCGCTTTCACTTTCAATAACTACCATTCGTCGTCTCTTTGGTAGTATAATTTCGGAACCACTACTTGAAGTGTCAGAATTATAATCAACATTGTCTTCCACAATATCTTCTAACAATGAAAAATCGAACACATCTTCTCTATCACTCAGCTCTATTCTCATCACAATAATTATTTTTCTCCAGTTGCTAACCATAAAATGGGTCAAATAATGTTTCAATCGTAACAGTAGCAAGACTGAGCACGTGTTAACTACAGATAACAATTGCCATTGCCGACGATTCCGTAACATCTTAAGCCTAATCATGTTAAAAACATTGGGCTTCGCAGCAGAGCCTACGGAGTTACGGAACAAAATGACGGACGGCTCCGTAGCGGAGCCAACGGAGTGCTAAGGGTTAAAATCTGAATTCTTATTATAGCTGCTTAAAGACTGAACCATATTTCTTAGTTTAACATTTTTTCCGCCTCCTCTTTCAAAATAGAAATATATATATAAAAAAAAAAGGAAAAAAAAACTCTTTGGCTTGTAATATTTATACCTTTATTTTTTTATAATAATAACTATATTTCTTAATTTGATACCTTTTCCCCCTTCTTTCTAAACAGAAATATTAAAAAAAATTCTATTTGACTTGGAATATTTTTTAATTCTTTACCTTTTAACATTGTTTTCTATTTTTCATTTCTCTCTTACTTAATTGCTTTCCTTCCAGAAAAAGAGCTAAACTATTTTGATAATTAGATGAAAGAAAAACCGTTTTAGTACCATATTTATAGGACATTTACCTATTTTAATATTTTGTTATGTAAAGAAATGTTTCGTTTTTAATTAAAAGCTATTGTAAATAAACACAATCATAGCTTCCAAATGAGTTAACTACAACCTTAGTTTCAAATTAGCGATTTGTTGCTTATCTGTAGTACTGAACGAATAATTATGGAAACACAAATCGGAGATCGAAAACGTGGTTCTGAAAACTGAAGTACAGAAAATATATATTTATATTTATTTGTATATTAGTTATGCAAAACGGGCATTCTCCTTCACCATTATTTCTCCATTGACAAATTACAAATTTATGAGATTTTTAAGCCTTAAATTTAAAATAACTCTCTTATACTGCACAGCTTCAATATATTTAAATAATTGTATTAAGGTAAAAATTTCGTATAATTTGTTTCATTTGATGATTAATGTGAATCACTTGTTTTAAATATTTCTGCATTTCCTAAACGCATTTTTCTGTTCTTTTACCAAGTAGAGATTAAATTTAATGCATTATTACACAGTAATACATATTAATACTATGAGTTTATTATAAAAAAAGAATAACAAATTTGCATGATTTAATAATTCAGTTCGTTAAACAATTACTGTTACCGGAAAACACAAATCGGTTATTCTTGTTATAAGCTGAATAACGGAAAATCTGTATTATTCACTTCTGAGAATATAGGTTATAATATAACCTTCATAACAATGCTTAAATACTGTTAGTAGCTCATACGGTAAACTGAATAAAACTCAGCTATTTATCAGGTAAACTTCACAAGTTCCTTTATTAAATCAACACATATGGGGAGTAAACACTTATTGTATACTGACTTGAATGATTGCAGTAATAATTAATATATAATAATTGAAAAGAAATGTAAAATTATTATTAAGAATGAAGCGATTATCGCCGAAAAAATTTACTAGAGATGCATGAACTTCATTGAAGTGCGAGAAAAATAGTAATATCCTTGAAGTACACGTACTTACTTTTCTGATTTCCAGAATTCAGCTATTCTGCTAAACGTTAATTGCCGTCGTTCCAAATTCTGTTTCAGTTAGAAACTGACTTGCTGACGCTTGCAAGCATTACATTGAGAGAGTGTGAAAAGTAAGTTTCAAAATTTTTCCTTTATTCTACAAAAATGATCAGAACTAAAAAAAAAATATCTCAGATATCTAAAAGACGGATTTATAGGAAAATAAATCAACATGCATATTATCGGAATTCTTCAGAAGATGAAGTAGCAGTTAATAATGAAAAAAGCCTGTGCCGAATTTTCGCGCTAGCAAATATTCTTTAAGTTCCAAATTTATATTCCGAATCACAGTTTGAAATAACTGTGATGCGAAATATGAATTTTTATGTCTTAAGAATAACTGACTGGTGACGATCACCACAACGATTATCAGATTTAAAGGAATATTCCAAATAAATGACTAGTAAATATTCCGTTAGACTTTATGAGTCTTGTGTACTTAGGAGTAGTGCAAAAAATGATTGCTATTTGGATAGGCGGAGGCAGCTTACAAGCATGATTACCACATAAAAATGTTGAACTAATTTTTAAAAAAATTGACCAGCTTTCAAAGCCTTATGTACCAATTGAATTTGCAAGAAACCAAGGGTTCTAAAAGAATTAAAACACTGAAAAGCTACAGAATACCGTCAATTTTTACTGTACACTAGCCCACTTATTTTTTAAAAAATTTTAAGCAACAAGCTATATGATCATTTTTTACTATCTTATATTTCGATTAGACTCTTATGCGAAATACAGAATCAGATGGCAATTCATGAATATGCACAGTCTCTATTAAATCTCTTCGTAGTAAATTTTATGCTTTATTATGGAACACAGTATATTTCTCATAATGTTCACGGCCTACTGCATATTTGCGAAGATGTAAAAATGTTTGAGCCGTTAGATAATTACAGTGCATTTAAATTTGAAAGCTATATATATTCTATAAAAAATGATTAGAAAATTTTCCGCTCCATTACAGCAAATAGCAAGATAAACTCATGAACTGTTCAATCATATTGTAGCCATCAATAATAATTCAATCAACGTAACCGACTGAAGTTCAGAATTTCAAAATTGACACACATCTGGTCCACTACTTAAAGGTTATTATAATGCTTAATTTTATTATTGAATTTTGAATACAAATTTAACCGAAGTCCAGAACCGAATTTCTAGAATAATTTAATTATAAATATATTGAAGAATTCAGTTTTTGGTCTATCTGAATGGTTAAAAATGATCGAAAGATTTTAAATATTTTAAAGCAATAATTTTCTCTTATAATATTTTGTATTAATAATTCATTTCAAGTCCCTTGCTCAGTTTTAGATATATTTACAAATTATTAAGTAAATTGAAAATCAAATTAGAAAAATAAATTGTATAAATATTCTTAGCATTTCTTATTTTTCCATAGTAACCACAGATGGAGGACTTGAGACTATCTGTGAAAAATAAGTAGGTTTTAGGTTATCACAACACCTTCATACATTTTCACTGGAATATAAAGAAGATTCCTGGGGATATACTGGGATGTAACATTAAGCAGTTGAGAGTATGTATTTAAGAGGTTAAAGGGATATTGTAATTAGTATTTCAAATACTGATAACATCCCATATGCTGTCGGTGGGACCTAGATAGGATGTCCTAAGGATATACTCGGATGTGACATTCGCTCGGGAGGATGAGTTTAGGATTAAACTGGGATATTACGGGACGTCCTGAGGATGTAGTATGTAGGACTTTAAATCCTAATAAAATCCCATACGCTGTCGATGGGACATAGATAGGATGTTCTTAGGATATAATGGGATGTGTTTAGGAGGTTAGTGGGACGTCCTGAGGATATAGTAAGTAGGGAATTCATATCCTAACAACATCCCGTACGCTGTCGATGGGATTTTGTTAGGATGTCCTGAGAATATACTAGGATGTGACATTAAGCACACGGGAGGATGTGTTTAAGAGGTTTGCGGGATATTCGGGGATGTCCTGAGGATGTGCGCATATCCCGCGAACAACATCCTCAGGATATCCCAAGGATGTTTTTGTGCTATGTGAGATGATGATTCTTTACTAGCCGTAAATTTCTGCAAATATAGAATGAAATCCAAACTATGTTTTAACTTGGGCATTTAGAATTATTAATATGATTTTATCAAGAGAAGTTAAGGATTTGGAAATCATGTTTTAGGGTAAAGATGAGGTAACATGAGATACAAGCATTCTTGTTAT